GGAGATACTTTCTTTTGAAAATTACATTTAATTTTTTAGAAATATAGGAATTAATTTAGAATTAAGGTAATTATGTGGTTTGGAATTATGAAAATTAAGTTGGAATTACTTTGAAAACAATGGAATTGCGATTTATTATTGGAATTACAAGAATTTCGCTAATTTTTTGTTGGAATTACGTAGAACTAAGTTGGAATTACGTAAAATAATTTGAAATATCATAAATTAATTTGTAATTAAATATAGGAATTATTCTGAAAACAATAGAATTACGGTGAATTATTGGAATTTTGGAAGAATTAGTGGAATTTTTCTAAAAGTACTGAAATTCTTTTTGAAATTATTGGAGATACTTTCTTTTGAAAATTACGTTCAATTTCTTAGAAATAATTAATTTAGAATTATGGTAATTATGTAATTTGGAATTAATCTGAAAACAATGAAATTGCGATTTATTAGGGGAATTAATGGAATTTCGATAAAAATTTTTGGAATTACGTAGAATTAAATTGGAATTACGTAAAATAATTTGTAATATCAGAAATTAATTTGGAATTAAGTATAGAAATTAATTTGAAAACAAACAATTGATGGATTATTGGAATTACTGGATTTTTTTTGTATTACTAGAATTTCGGTAGATTTTGTTTGGAATTGAAATTAGTACACATTTTTTTCAAGTTAAGAGCCCCTCGGTTCAAACCTAAAAAAATTGAAATCCACTAAAATAGTTCATTTATAAAAAAGTAAAAAACAAAAATCCCTAAACTTTTACTCACTTAATTGACTCGATTTTTTTCCCCCAGGTCTCTGCATGGGGGGGCTACGTCTTCATCATCAATTTAATCCCACTTCATGTGTTTGTTCTCCTTCTTATGGGGCGCTTCTCGAACCGACTTTTCACCAGCTATACAACTTTCTACATTCTTGGGTTGATTTGTTCCATGCAGATACCATTTGTTGGGTTCCAACCCATCCGTACCAGTGAACACATGGCGGCTTCTGGTACTAAAATATCAGTTTTTGTGTTGTTTAAAACATTGTTGTTTTTTTAGGTGTTTTTGCGCTACTTTTCGCCGTTGCAACTCTCAAATATTTACAAACGATGCTTTCAAAATCGGAATTTAAATCGTTGGTGATTTTTGGTGGTTTAATAGCGGCCGGTGTTGTTTTTCTAACGGTGGTAGGACTGACTTATGCTGGTTATATAGCGCCATGGAGTGGCCGGTATTTAAATTAATAATGGTTTTAAAATATTTTCTAATGAATTAAATTTTAGGTTTTATTCATTGTGGGATACAGGATATGCGAAAATACATATTCCGATAATTGCGTCGGTTTCTGAACATCAACCTACAACTTGGTTTTCATTTTTCTTTGATTTGCATATTTTAGTTGCGACTTTTCCGGCTGGTTTGTGGTATTGTATCAAAAATGTAAACGATGAGAGGGTTTTTGGTAAGGAAAATAGTAAATTGACAAAAAAAAAGTTGGCCTTGATCGTTTGACAGTTTTCGAATTTTATTAATCGTTTATATTTAGTAAAATTTTTGTTATAAGGTTGGCAATAATGAAGTTGCATTTCTTGATTTGCAAAAAAATTGGCCATGACCATTTGACAGCTTTCACTCGAAAATCCAAAATAGTTTTTTTTTTTTAATTTCAACGGCAAGGTTGGCAATACTGATAATTTTCTTGAAAATTTCTTTAAAAACGATTCATTTCCAACTAAAATTTGTGTTTTTGAGTCGAAAAATTATTATTTTTATGATTTATTTGAACAAAAAAGGTCCAAAAATAAAAAAGGACTAAATTAGTTTGTTTAAAAAGTTGACCATGACCGTTTGACAGCTTTCACTCGATTCCAAAACAGTTTTTTTTTCTTTAAATTTCAACGGCAAGGTTGGCAATACTGATAATTTTCTTGAAAATTTCTTTAAAAACGATTCATTTCCAACTAAAATTGTGTTTTTGAGTCAAAAATTACTGTTTTTATGATTTATTTGAACAGAAAAGGTCAAAAAATAAAAAAGGACTAAATTAGTTGTTTTTTTCCAAATTGACATAAAATGAGCCATTCGGTTGTAACTATTTTCGTAATTCATTATTTTGGTGTTAATTAAATTTATTAAAAATTGTTAATTTGCAACATTTTTTTAAACAAAGTTGGCAGTACTGAACGCAATTTACATATGTCGTGACATCAAAAATTTTATAATTTGTTTAAAAACGCTTTATTTCCAACTAAAACTTGTGATTTTGAGTCGAAAAAAAATGAATATTTTTATGATTGATTTATCTGTTTTTAGATTTTTAGTTTTAATCTAAAAGTTTATCATTTTTTTAACGTTTTAAAGTAGTTTTTATCAAAACAAACACTTTATTGCCTCATAATCTCATTAAAGATTGTTTTTTCATCTTTTTATAAGTATTTTTGCACTTATTTTGAATTATATAATAAACTTTTTAAAAAAATGTTCAAATATAAAAATATGTCAATCTGAACTTTTTCAAAATATCGAGCTGCAAAAGACAGTTGGGGAGACTGTGGAAATATCCAGAAATTTATTACGATAAAAGATAAATTTTTGACCAATTTTAAAAAAATATTTTTTTTACCTTATTTGACTGTTCTTTTCTATTTTTTTTTTAAATTTATTTAATTATTATGAACTAAACCGCTGACACGCTGTTTTTGAGTTCTTTTTAAGCTTGATTTATGGATAAAAGAGGACGAACAGGAAGTAAAAACTTGTAAAAACTTTTTTTAAGCAATTTTCTGAAAATTATCTATATTTTTGCTTTTTTCCCATTTTTTATTCCAAATTTGATGTTTTTTAATTCAACAATAAAAAATTTTGTTTTCTTATAGTTTTTGTCCAATTTAGCTTATTTTTTCAATTAAAACCAAAAAAAAAAAAACAAAGTGTAAACCATTTTGTTATTTAATTTTTTCAACAATAGATTTTAGTTGTTTTTTTACTATTAAAACACTAATCGAAAACTATTTTTCGATCATTTTAGTTTATTTTTTCTTGTTGTTTCGATTTTTTAGCCAAAAAAGCTAAAGATTTAGTGTTTTTTTTTTACTTAAAAATTTAATTTTTTTAGTGATCCTCTACGCCCTGAGTGCGGTTTACTTCGCCGGCGTGATGGTCCGTCTCATGTTAACCCTCACCCCCGTGGTGTGTATTTTAAGTGGGATAGCGTTCTCCGGCCTTTTGGAATTATTTTTACGCGAAGATGACACTCCACGCAACGAAGACAGTGATGATGATGACCAATCACCCCCCAATAATCGTCGTTTGTACGACAAGGTGTGTAACAATCCTCTTACCGACCTAGAGAGTCTAAAAAATAAAAATTATAAAAAAATACAGGACGTTACGCCACTGTCTTCTTTTCTAACACAATAATATAAGTGACATTTTGTTGTATCCTAGCAACCAAAAACAATACGACGTTGCTAAGCAACCGGTCATAATAACGTCTTTGGTCACGTGTAAAAGTCAGTGGCGTACCTAGAATCGACTGCGATTATTAAATATTCAATTGAAATATTCAAAGCTACAGAAAAGGTTTTGGTTGTGTTTCTTTATGTCATTAATTTTTTTTTATTAATTAAATTTTTAATAAAGAAATTGTACCAAAATCATAAAATCCAAGCCACTGACTATTTTTTGTAATTGGATACTTTTTTATTTCCAATATGAAAAAAAAAGACAATTAGATTGTTAAAATTTGTATCAGAAAATCTATGCCGACTACGATTATGAAATATTCAATGCTACAAAAAAAGGTTTTGGTTTTGTTTCTTTATGTCATTAACTTTTTATTTTTTTAATTAATTAAATTTTTAATAAAGAAATTGTACCAAAATCATAAAATCCACGCCACTGACTATTTTTTGTAATTCGATACTTTTTTATTTCCTTTTAAAATTATCATAGTCACTCAGATGTGTCAATGGAAAAAAAAATGACAATTGGATTGTTAAAATTAGTGTCAGAAAATCTACGCCGCCACTGTCTTTTTTGTAGTAAAGTAGTTGAGATTCTTCTTGTATCCTAGCAACCGAAAGCCACAATTAGTTGTATCTTAGCAACCATGATTTGTTGCTAAGCAACCAAGTATAATAATTAATCACGTAGAAAAGTCAGTGGCGTAGCTACAAATAAATATTGATTTTTTGAATGAAAAAAAATTGTTTTTCAGGCCGTCGCCGGCCGTGTGCCAAAAATGAAACACGAGCAAAATAAGGAATCGGACGGGATTGGTCCGAATATTCGTAGTATCGTAACCGTTGTCATAATGTTGTTGTTGATGTTGTTTGCGGTGCATTGTACATGGGTCACTAGTAATGCCTATTCGAGTCCTAGTATAGTACTAGCATCGTATGGGAGTGATGGTACACGTCAAATATTGGACGATTTTCGTGAAGCCTATTTTTGGTTATCGCAAAATACCGCTGATGAGGCTCGTGTAATGAGTTGGTAATTTTTGATTGGTTTGGAGTGTATTAAATGAGTCACGTGATGTATGATTTAGGTGGGATTATGGGTATCAGATCGCTGGGATGGCCAATCGGACAACACTAGTCGATAACAATACGTGGAATAATAGTCATATAGCATTGGTGGGGAAAGCAATGTCGTCCAATGAGAGTGCAGCATATGACATAATGACCGCCTTGGATGTGGATTACGTTCTAGTGATTTTCGGTGGTGTGATTGGCTATTCTGGTGATGATATTAATAAGTTTTTATGGATGGTGAGGATCGCAGAAGGTGAACATCCGAAAGATATCAGAGAGAGTGATTATTTCACTGAACATGGTGAATTTCGTGTGGACGCTGAGGGGGCACCGACTCTATTAAATTCACTTATGTATAAATTGAGTTATTATCGATTTGGTGAATTGAAATTGGATTATCGTACACCGGCTGGTTTTGATCGGACACGAAATGCAGTTATCGGTAATAAAGATTTCCAACTTACCTACTTGGAAGAGGCGTACACGACCGAGCATTGGCTTGTAAGGATATACAGGGTGAAGAAGAAAGATGAGTTTAATCGGCCGCGCATACCGGTGGCTAATCGGGTGGTCAAGAGCCAGAATTTCGTCTCTAAAAAGGTAAATAGTGTTATTAACATATTTATGAAAAATATTTGTTTTGTATTTTTTAGAGCACCAAGCGTAAAAAGGGCACAATCAAGAACAAGCCGGTGGTCGTGAAGGGCAAAAGACTGTCAAAACAGGCGTAAATAGTTGTTGTTAGTTGTTTGAGACGAAGAATTTTGTTGATTTAGTTCCGCCAAGTTTTTCACTTGTGATAACTGTGTAAAAATAAAGGTAATAAACTTTTTGCACTGTCAAGTGTTTTGTTCGACATTAAACATCACTTTGTGAAATTGGTTGTATTTTTTTATTAACATTTGTTTATCCTAATATGTACAGTTGAGTTTGTTACATAAACTTAAGAAACTACAACACTTAATAAATGTTTTCAGCGGTTACAAATCGGTTTTTTTTTGGTGGTTTTTTTCTCGTAAATGAAAAAGGCCTTTTTGTTACCTTATTGCGGCGTGGAAGATTCCTCAATACAAAATATACTTTACAAGATGAATTTACTTTTATTCACAACATTGTTCTACAAAATACTATCTAAAATTATTGTACAAAACGATTTGAATAACACCTCCAGTTTTGACGACTTTACGACCTAACACAAGTATAAAAATAATATAAATAGTACCAAATTTTCGTGTGGGAATAAATAAAAAATAAATAACGTTTTGATTAAACAAAATCAAATGGAATTACGCTATTATACAAGAGAAAATTCGACGTTGTTGTGAAAAACTGTAGCCTGCATTGCACTCGTAATAACTCAGTCGCTTCTCAGTTATTACCCTAAAATAGATTGTACTGTCGAGGTGAAAAAAAAATTGAAAAAAAAAAAATCCACCATCTATTAAGAATGAGATTGTGGCTCGACCGGCAAGAGAAAACTCGACGTTTGTGCTACCATACTGTCCCCACAGGGGGCGTAACCATTATGAAAAACATCGGGAATTTGGACCAAAGACTCCGCCAACGTGTGTTCATCCAACAACGAGTCCAACAGCCCCTGTGATTGGCTCAACTTCTCCAACGATTTCACATCGTTGTCGACAGCCGCGAGGGCCTTCTCCAACTCCTCGGCCTCCTCTCGCGACGGCTCGTACTCCCCATTCCGATTCACTAAAAATCACCGAATTTGTCAAACAAGCGCAGCGAACGAGTGACGAAACACTACCTGCGAAAAAGTCACTGAATTCGTCCACTTGGATCGTACTCAAAACTGTACTAATGTCGGTCTCTTCAAGCAAATGGGAGGCTTGACTTTCGAGGACTTGTGCCAACGCGTCCGATTCGTTCAAACCGAGGACTTGGTCGACCATATGCATGTCTTCCTCCAGCTCGGGGGAGGCCGCGTGCACAATCTCGCCCACATCTGATAAAAAACATTTAAATAGAATTAAGGAATAAGCCGTTTTATCGACTTTTTATGGTGGCAAGACTGAACACCCCATATAAATAATTTTTGGTGGTGGCAGTACTGAATCATGACCCTCTATTACCGAAATCTCAGGCAAATAAAAATACTGACAAACATAAAAAAAACACATATTTGTCAAGGTTACAAGATATACGTGGTCAACAACTGTACTTAAAAGGACAAAAATGCTGTCAAAAATTAGATTTCTTAAAAAAACAGTTTTGAGAATAATTTGTCACAAGATCCAGGTTGTCAATAATTATATTAGGAAAGAAACTATTACTTGTCAAGTCAAAATATTCTTAATATTTATCAGTTTTGACATTTTTTTCTCGAATTTAGGTGTGAAATTTGTATTTAATTTGTCAAATTAATAAGTTATACGTTGTCCATAACTGTACTTAAAATTGAAAATATGTCATCGATGATAACGCATTGAGCTTGTATTTATTTGTCAAATGAAAAATTAAATTTTTTTTCTATAAAAAACACATTAAATATTTCAGTTTTTACACTTTGAATATAGAATTTGCCAAGATCACAAGATATACGTTGTGAATAATTATATTAGGAGCAAAAAATGCTGTCAAAAACGCATTTATGGCCCTAAAAAAATGAAATAAAACCGATAAAAAATTAAATTTTTACAATTTTCTTCTTTGAGAAACAATTTTCGATGTCAAAAAACTGCTATTACTGTCAAACATCTTTTTTATGTAATTTTAGCCACATCTAAACAGTTATTGACAACATATACCTTGACTCACACAGCCAACTTAATTATCATCAAATATAGCAAATTTGTGCTAGAATAGGCTTGTGTCATTTTTGACATTGGGCCGAGCAGTGTTGCCACGTGTGGTGAAATTTCACGAGATCTGATGTTTTATTCCTACCTTTTCTAGTTTTTGACCAAAATTTAAAAAACAATTGCCAAAAAAACTAAAAACTTGGGAAAAAATGGTTTTAGGCACGTTTTTCTACTAAAATCTCAGTATCTCAGTTTTTTCCTAGATTTCGCTAACACAAACCAAAAAAAATCAATAAATCAAGTCGCTAATTAAATTATTTTTGCATTTTTAGAACGTTTAGCACGTTTTTCGTCTAGAAACGCAATTATTTCGCAAAATTTTGTTAAAAACAAACCGAAAAATCATAAAATTAAGCCGACAATAATGTCATTTTAGTCTTTTTCGAGAGTTTTTTAAACTATTTTTCAGGCAATTGGAAAAATTTAAATCGTAATCTTGTAATTTGGTAAAAAATTGGTGATTCAAGTCAATTTGATTTTTTAAATCTGGCAACACTGACCGAGTTTGTAAATTTGTTTAGTCTGCGGTCCGGTTCGGTTTAAAACACTTTTTTCTGGACCGAATTCATAATTAATGATTTAGTAAATCAGGTAAAAAGTGAATGACACTATTTTTGCACCTTTTTCAACCAGAAACTTGATAATTTCTCCAATTTTGTCAAAAAAAATCAAAAAAATTGGTTAAAAATTGTTCTATTTCAGCAAGAATTCAACAAAATAGCCAAAAGCGGTGTTATTTTTGCCTTTTTCAAATGTTTTGAGATAAAAACAACAATTTTTCGAAAAATTTCGTTTAAACAGACTAAAAAATTACAAAATTACATCGAAATAGATATTATTTTCAGCCTTATTTATTTTACAAAAATAAGACAAAAATAAGCCGAGAAACCACAAAATTTGGTAAAAAATGCTTTTAAGCAAGTTTTTTATACTAAAATTCTCGAGATTTCGCTAACACAAACCATTTATCAACAAATTAGGTCGCAAATTATATTATTTTTGCATTTTTAGAGCATTTTAACATGTTACGCAATTATTTCGCAAAATTTTGCTAAAAACAAACCGAAAAATCATAAAATTAGACAGAAAATGAAGTCATTTTAGTCTTTTTCGGGATTTTTAAGCTGTTTTTCGACACTATTGGAAAGATTTAAATCGTGTCCTTGTATTTCAGCTGAATTTTATTTTTTTTAAGTTGACAACACTCACCGAGTTTGTTAATTTGTTTAGTCTGCGGTCCGGTTCGGTTTAAAACACTTTTTATCTCGACCGAAATCACAATTAATGATTTAGTAAAACAGATCAAAAATAAATGACACTATTTTCGCATCTTTTCCACGTTTTTCAACCAGAAACTTGATTATTTCGCCAAATTTTCTCAAAAAAAAATCGAAAAACCACAATTTGCGACTTGTTCGAATGTTTATGCACGTTTTTGAAATAAAAACAAAAAACTTGGAATAATTTCGTTTAAACAGACTAAAAAATTACATCGAAATAGCTACTATTTTTATCCAATTTCGCTCGATTTATTTCGGTTTTGAACAAGAGGCTCATTTATTTTACAAAATCTTGTCCAAACTGAGCAAAATTAAGACAAAAATAAGCCGAGAATTCACAAAATGTGGTAGAAAATACCGTTTTTGTACTAAAATCGCATTTTTTTCTCGAAATTTCACTAACACTAACCAACAAATTAACAATTAAGTCAAAAATTGCATTCCTTGAGCCTTTTAGCACGTTTTCCAACTAGAAACGCAATTATGCCTCAAAATTATGTCATTTTCATCTGTTTTGAGAGTTTAAAAATCACTACATTTTTATAAACATATATTTTAAGCCTTTCACCACTCAGTTTATGAAAAAAAAGTAATCTGTAAATAAACTAGTAATCTGGTGAATTTTATCTTTCCGGAGTGGCAACACTGAGTCACAGCTTGCTGGGAGAAACATCTCCCTTATACAAGAGCGTTTTCTCTTTCCAAAAAAAAAAAAACATTTTTCTGTAATAATTCAAAGATTTACTTACCGCCCGCGCCCGGAATATGAATTATTGCACTTGGTGTCGTTGTTTCTGGTGTTTTATTCGGTTTCTTTTTCTTTTTATTGCGTTTTTGTGGCCGAATCATCGCCGACGGTTTAACTTTCTTCCTTAATTTCTTTGGTTTCGCTTCTTGATACAATTTATAATTATCCTAGCAAACTTGATAAATTAAGCAAAAAAAATCTCGTTTTAAATCGCCTCAAACTCACCCTTTTTCGGGCATGTTCGGGACAGAGGGGCAACTCGTGCGTTATATCAAAAACAGGTACAGAACACTGCGTATTATCAGCAAATTTCGCCGTACAATAACCGAACAAAACCTGTTCACTATTCAACATAATGTGCAACGTGCAATGACGCGTACATGGCAACGCCGCATGGGGGCAATTCTCGACTTGACACGTCAAGGGGGCCACAAGACGGTCATACCCCACCGGTTGCGGGTGTCGATTCGGCGTCTGTGCCGCCACAGCAGCCCCCGAGAGGGGCTCATGCGGCTTGCCCACATTACTCCTAACGATTTGCTGTAAATGACGCAGAAACTCATGTCGGGTGATTTCGATTCGTTCCTCGCGTGAACGATCCTCCAATTTGAATTTCTGAAACGGGGGAAAAACTCAAATAGTGCCAACAGAAAAATTCTAGTTACTTCAAGACTGGGACTGAACCAGTGGTGTTGGTAGTGGTTGTAAAAGTCCCGGATGTCGTCTATCCGTTGGAGGGTTTCGTGGTGGGTGGCACGACTGCCGGTCTTGAGACGGGGCTTCACTGGAGGCAATTTGTGCGTTTTTTCATCACTTAAACCTGAGAAAAATTATTACACTAGATGTGGGGGAGGGTGAGAAAGGGGGCACACCTATAATACTGGGACTAATGACTTTAGCGTCGATTTCCTCCTCGTCAAACTCAATTTTCACCTTGGTTTCGTAACCGGGATGGGGGAATCCCATATTTCTAAAAGTTGGTTCCAGTTTTTTATCATTATTGTACGGGGTGGTGTCTTTAGTCCCTAACGACTTGACTTTATTGTAATTTATTTGTCCTAGAGTCCTACTTGGTGGAACTAAACCGTTACACCTGGAAAGCGCCCCCATGGTCACAAACACATCCAGCCCCCATAATACCCACCTTTGATTTCCTTTAATCCCTGAATTGAACATCTTACGGTTTTTAAGTGAAATAACAGCTAGTTATGTACATTTTACTACCATTGTGACTACATCAATGTTTTCGCATGAAACTCCTTCAAGAATCATGGAACAGCCCCCTCAAACGCCAAACCTGAAAAAAACGCAGGTTTTTTACACAAAAACACACACTTAATTCAATTTACCCCAACATAATCAGCTTATTTAGTAAAAGTTTACTTGACAGGTCATATAAGGTTATGACACGAAAAAATTTCAACAAATGCACTCAAACCACACTTCCTGTATAAAAACAACACGAAACGAACAAATCTTCGGTAGTTTAGCAAACAAAAAAATTATTTACACAGGATTGTTGCAAAAATTCTAATAAACTTATGTTTTGTTTGACAAATGACAAAAACTATAAAAACTGTCAATACCAACCTGACACAATCGCCCCAAATTCCCCAACTCGCACCCAAAAAACATCAAAAACAATTGATTTAACGCATGACAACCCCATCAGGGACCTATTACAATCTAATCTAATTAAATCCAATTACGGAAATCCACAATTGACAATATTCCACCAAAGGTCAAAGTCCCGCTTGATTTAGTTACACACTGGGGCAAGGTTGGCAGCTCTGGACGTAAATAATTTTTAAATTTAATGGCGCCAAATTCAAACGCCAATTTGATTAAAATGACACAAATATTGATTAAAAGCAATTATTTGAAGGGCTCATAACCCACATTTAAAACTTTTAACTAAATTAAATACACAGAATTGTTGCAAAATTTTTGACAAATAGCCAACACTATAAAAAACTGACTCAATCAACTAATTACAATCTAATCTAATTAAATCCACAATTGACGAAATTTCACCAAGAGTCAAAATCCCGCTGAATCTAGTTACACAGTGGGGCAAGGTTGGCAGCTCTGGACGTAACCATTTTTAAATTTCGTGGCGCCAAATTCAAACGCCAATTAATTAACACAGTCGATTAAGCTTTAATTTCATTAAACTGACAGGGGTATTGATCGGGCGCAATTGTTTGAGAGGTTTACGATACCCGTTTCACACTTTTAACCAAATTAGGGCTCGAATTGGAAACTCGGAGAGTTTTTACAAGTAAAAATTTTTTCTTTTTTTCTTTGTAAATCACTCAAATTGTCTGAAAATGTGTTATTTTCATCGATTTCAGTGGAGATTCGGGTCAGTGAGCAATAATTCGCTGGATCTGTCCCATTTGCTCAGTTTCTTGAAGAGATAAGCCTCGTGTTCTCACAACCCCAAATATTTAAGTGTTTCCACTCCGCCACGGCGTATAATCGAGACATTCCCCCATGTTAAATTAACTTAAATTAACTCTGACAAGTCGATTTATTGCATCTGTAGAAGAATCTTCTCGATACAAAGGAATCGATTTCGTTGTCTTAAGAGAAAGGGTTTGATAAGTTAAGGGCATTATTACGCAACATCAAAGCCCTTTAGACAGTCGATACGTTTCTCGGACCGATTAAACACGTTTTGCGCTTTTCTGGAGCTTTCCATGCCGGCAAACAAGCCTAACATTGTGTGCTTTGCGATGATTGCTCGTAAAAGAAACGAGCGACATATTTAGGGTTAATTAAGACCGGACAAGAGTGATTTTCGTGGAAAAAATCAAATTAAAATAAAAACTAAAGTCAATTTGAGTTAGATGAAAAGCGAATTAAACTTCAAAAGGAATAAATTTGTTTGTTATTCAGACGATTATTACATTTTGAGTGAATGTTTGACTATTAAAGTCATTTTAATCACTGGTTCAGTGTTTGGCTGAAACAAATTACATTTTTAATAATTGAAAAATCTAATAAAATCTTCACGTTGTTTTTTTTATAATTTGCTACATTTTCAGCAACGAAGTTTTTTCTCTAAAATTTTATTATAAATTTAAGTTGCTTGGAATGCTTAATTTTGGACAAACCCGGCGCTTCGCTTTAAAATTTTTTTGTGGTGGGGAATTTTTTAATTAAAATCTCACTTTTTTGCATTTTTTTTTTGTATCCGAGCGTTAATTTATGATTTCGTCCTTGATCAATAATCAATTGCATCCTTGTTACAATAATTAACTACAGTTACATAACCATCTATCATTTTTTTTTAACTTTCACTTCAAGTTGTACCAAAAATCACATTTCTGATATTCATAAACCAAAATTTAAACAGTTTTCAAATCGATAAGTGAATTACGTAACGAAACATTGAATTTTACATTTTTTTAATGCAACAAATCGTTTCAAATTCTTATAGACAGTCAAGGTCAAGTCTAAAAATCCCCCAATTATAATTTTAAATCGAGTTGCCAAGTAATTAAACTGTCAAAACAGCGAGGTTGTGAATTAACACAGTTGGCTTCCTCTAAAATGACCAAAAACGCCAATTTATTGTTGGTACAACTGTTTGTTATTTTCAAACCAAATTTCACTTTTCTTCGACTCAGAAATGACGTTCCGCTGTTAAAAATTGACGCATTGGCGAAATTATTTCACTTGCAGTAATACCAACCTCGAAATCAGTCAGTCGTACCAACAATAACGACCCACAAGCCCGCAAGAATTTGAAACAAGTTGTGATACTTTGCAACGCCCAAATCTGTTATAATTCTGTTTTAAAAAATTGAAATTTCCTCACATTATAAAATTTATTTTGGGGTCATTTTATTTTAATCTGTTTTTAATAAATCGTGACGTTTTATTTTTCATCCCGATTTTTATTCAACAAATTTCTGAATTAAATTTTCAATAATTTTAAGTGATTAGGAATAAATTGTCTTAGTTAAAAAATAAAAAACACAAATTAATTTAACATTAACTATTACGAGAATAGTTTTGTACACATTTCTGGCCGAATTTTATATAAATTCACCTCAACGTTTCTTCAAACGTGTTCARAAGCAATGAAACTAATTATCACACTTCAACTRTTTACATTTYAATTGTGAGAAATTAATTAGACGAAAAATTAACAACATGATTTAGCAAAATCAGACTTAATTCAACAGTGTTTCAAATAAATTAAGCCAAAATCAGGTAATTATCCAAAATTATCTCAATTTCAAAACAAAATGAAAAGAAAATACAAACACAAAGTTGTCAAAATTAATATTACTTGCTTTTGCATCGCCACAACTTGTCGAACTTTCCAACGACAAAAATGCATAAATAAAAAACCAAAAATGTTATTTAAAAAAAATATATTTACCCAGTTGTGAGAGTTTAATTAAAAATCAATTCAAAATCAGTTTAAATAAGTGAATAAAAAGCAAATAAATTGTTTTAATTAAAAAATAAAACCCCAAATCAATTTAAAAATCTGTTTCACTTCATTTATTGTCAAACAAAATTACTCCAACTTGTTGAGTTTATTGCAACAAATTTTTCAAATGTCTCAATGTTATTAAAAGTTGTGTAAAGGACTTGGATRGCTTTAAAAACTGTATACTTGAAATTAAAAATTTTCTTCTTTCGTTTTGAGTAAATTGAGATTCGGTTTGAAATTACATCCAAGTTCGTCCATTTGTAAACATTGAATTTTAATAATTTGTCAAAATTCTCGCTAATTCACATTTCCTGTCTTCGATATCCGCAGTAATTCAATTAATTCAACAATTATCTCAATTTCAAAACAAAATGAGACGAAAATGCAAACAGGAGAAATCACAAAGTCGTCCAAAACGTCACAACTTGTCAAGCTTTCCAATGACCAAATGGTAGACAAAAAAGCATAAATCAAACATCAGAAATAATATTTAGAATTTAACTAAAAATAAATTAAACAAAATTAAACAGGAAGTACCCAATATTTGAGAGTATTAACCTTCTTTTGTTTTCTTTACATGTTCTCATTATGTTTTCAAAATGAAAAAAACAAAGCTTGTAAATCCAGTCATTTCCGATTTGTTCCAATTACCCCAATCATGCCTAATTGGCCGAATCTCTCCACTTGATCGAAGTGAAAGTGGGAGAAAAAATCCCCCAACAATTCGATTCCGTGTCAGATCTCGCTTTAGATACTTGTAATCTTGTGTTTAAACAACCCCAAATCCAATTACAATCAAATTGTGTGCATTGAAAAGTTTCGCAATAGGAAAATAATTAACTTTATTGTAGCGAGATTTGTTCAAATAGAAACTAATTTATATTTGTCGACTTTTATTACCAAAGCCATAAAATAAATCGATAAGTCATAAATTGTAATAAACATGGCCAATATGAAGTGGCTCATATTTTTTCAACTTGCGATAAAAGAGTATTTCCCAAATGTGTTGCAAACTTTGCACATAATTCGCTTCCACTTGTCTCATCTATATTTAAACTTTGGCCGCGAAGTGAGCCCAACTCTACCCAACACAGGGGCGCAGCGAAAACCACGCAAAATCATTTTTAAATTTTTTTACCCCCCTAAACTGGCTACGCCACTGGCCCAACAAATAAATTATTTCATGCAATTATTCACTTTTTTAATATTAAGTTGGCAACATTGATTGTCAAATTCAAATGTCACAATTTTATAGTCACTTGTCATTCATTTCCGACGGACGGCCGTGGGTTTTGCCGTCACTGGACCCACAATAATTCAATGTTGCCAACTTAATTTCTTAATAATTTGGTAACAAAGCTGACAATTTCAGTACAATACGATTAATTCTCATCTAAGCGCTAATTTATCGCTCGAATGCATTGAATCTAGTCAGTTAAATACAAATCCACATAAACAAAGCCTCAAATTCGGTTTATTTTCCTCAAAATGTGTTCTAATTAACGAAAACGGTGCAAATTTCAATTAATTTGAATGCTGCAGCTGTTGCTGATATTTTTCTCGTCTCTTCTGGGGATTAAAAATCGATAAAAGTCAATTAGCCAATTACGCGACACAAACGCTGAATGAAAGCTAATGGCAAACTGAATAAACACACTTTTTTCGCATATTTACGACTCGACGTTGTTAAATATTTACATTTGTGGACGTGGGAATCGTTTTAAATGTTTTTCTTGGGAGCGAATTAGGAATTTAAGTCGTTGAGGGTTGGCAACACTTTTTCTACTCAAAATCGGTGTTTATGATTTATTTGAAGCGGCATATGTTTCGTGTCTTTTTTATTCACTGACTAACGTTAGCTAAAATAAAATGTTTACCGAGGATACGTGTTGAAGAAATTACGATTCAGGAAATTTCGTTCATCATAAATTGAGATAAAATCGGGGTGAGGGATGAATCAATGGTCTTATCGCGATTTTTTCGCTAGCTTTATTCACTTTTTGGGGGCTTGCTTCCGGGTCATTAGGCAAAATGAGACACCAGGGGCGGCATTTAATTTTTTTTTTAATTTATCACCGTTTAAAAATTTCTAGACAATCAAGGTTAAATCTAAAAATAAACTTTGTTGTTCGAAACTTTTCAGGA